CTCATGGTTGGAAGAACAAGATGAAGACATTTATGAGGTTGAATCTCGTGTGCCTTTACCACATCCTTTTCCTCTTTGTGAACATTTGGATGAAAATAACTCAGTAATTATTAATACTTCTATTTTTCATTTTATTCATAAAAGAAATGGGCACATATTAAAGCTTATTTCTAAAATTTCTCTGCCTACCCCTCCTTATTCAGTAAGTATAAAAAATATGCATTTAGTTTAAAGTTGTGTATAATAAGTGAAATTTTAAGTGCCTTTATGAAGGCTAAATGGAATAGAACTTTGTTTTGTTGTTGTTTGGTGTGTTATTACTCATTCATCCTGGATGTACTGAAGGGCTAAATGTGGTCTAAGAGCCCCAACTTGGCTATGTGTTTGATTACAGAAAGCAGAATGAGATATTACATTCTCCAACATTGGGCAAGCTATTTAAAAACATCCTGCTTGTCCTTAAGATTCTTGCTTTTGTAGGTTCATGATGCCAATCCTGAGTAAAAAATGGAATGATTATATTTGAGAGAATAGACATTGTGATATCCAAAACAGCTAAGTGAGTTGTCACTGAGCCAGTTAGGAAGTGTTTACAATCATGTGGCATAGTGACTAGTTCCAGACAAGGAAAAAAGGAAACTTGGATTCTAATTTTAATTTTGTTGTTAGCCTAAGGAACTTATTTTCTGTTTTTAATATGCCTACTAATCTTGTGGAGAAATACCCTCTTCTGTAAAATATATTTTATAAATATTGTTAAGGGGTGTTTAGCATAAAGACACCTGCATTATTTAGTATTTCAGAGTCATTTGATACTTAAATATGTTGTGAATGATTCACTACAAGTTATCCAGTATAACTACAAGTTATTCAGCACTTTTTATGACTTTCATGGCTTTATACTATACTAGTTAATATTTAACAAGCCAGATGGTTTTCAGAATAGGTTTGTTAACTCTCCTGCAACTTTTATATTAGTGACAGAATATTTCCTGATGCTTTATACATATTTTTAATGTAATGATAAGTTTCTTAAATACTTCAAAAATATTGAATATGAAATTACTATAGACTTCATATTGTTATAGATATTAGGAATAAATCATACCCTGACTGGATAGAAGAGGTTTTTTAATTTAGATGAGCATTTGAAGGGGATCTCTTATCCCAATATTTATGGATCACATCTGCTATAATAAATGAAATTTACTAGATTTACTGTATTTGATTGTTCCAATCTTTTTGTTTTATAAAACTGAAGTTATTTCTTGTGGATTTTATGGTAAATGTTTAAACGCACTGCAAGACTAGTTAAATCTTGTCAGGACATAGAGCATAGAAGTAAAACTTATTTAATTTACTTACCCAAAGCAAGTATCTATTTTGTTGTAAATACTTTATTGTATTCCTATAGTCAATTTGAAAGGGAAAAAAAATTCATATACTTTTTAGTTACATGTATTTATTAGGCAATCATTATGTAATGTACAAGAAAAAATTACATATGTGTATATAAAAGCAAGTGATGTATTTTTAAAATATGGGTTGTGACTATAAATTCAGGAGAATAGTTGTGTATAAATTAGTTCATACTTTGTTTCTTTATAACAAAAATTGATGTATATTAGGTATTCACATTTAAGGAAAAATACTCATTTGCCAATTAAAAGTAAAAATATAAATTTATGCTCAA